CTGTGAAGCAGAGCTCTCCCCCTGAGCTGGTACAGTAGGAGATGGTTATCTGGACCACACTGGAGGAGGCCTGCTCACCGAGGAACAGCTTTTGCTGAGGTGCTGCTCTGTCTCACTAGTTTTGTTTGGACGTGAATGGAAAGGAGGGTATTCCTCGGGTCGTAAACACAGAACTCTCAGAGCCCAGTTCACCTTTTATTGCTTTGCTCCTTCAAAGCCAGAAATATAAACTGGGTTGTTTGAATTGTGCTTCGATAGGTCAGTCTATAAACAGTAAGGGCTTTTTAAAAAGCATTGATTGGAGTGACCAGCGCTGTAGATTAACACAGGGGCACCTTATTTATGTTCATGAGCAAATATCTCAGATGGGCTCAGACCGAAAACGCAGATTGATGTTTCTTTAGGGTTTTTATGTTAAAATGATTAGAAAGCACACACACGTCTTGTGCAGAGCAAGAAAAAAATGTACAAATATATATATCTCTGGTTCTAAAGGTATAAATAAAGATAAAAAAAATGACAAAGAACAAAAAAGTAGAGCAGCAAACCATCCAGTGGTTAATATCACCTTATTTTATTTATACAAAGACGTCCTGCTGCCTTGGATTCTTCCATTGAGTTACTTTGTCATAAATAATGTCCCAAATTATGCCGGTCTGCAGACAGTTTATTTGTTTTTAAGTGGAGTTCAGTGGAAATAATATGATTATGATTATCTAATATCTGACCTCTTGTTTCTGAGTCTGAGATCAGTTCTAATTAATGGGGAACCTAGGCAGTTTTAGCACCCCCTTGTGTCAGTTTGAAGAACCGAAAGCAAAACCCATCTCCTCACTGTGCGTTTGTCTTTTTCACACCTTAATCTAACAGCTAAAATGTCTCCCAGCCTTCATTAGTGTCTACAGGAGTGATTCGTCACTAAATTAAACAAGTCAGCTACGTTCATGATCCAAAACATGCTGGAATCAGACTGCAGCGCCAGGTATGTCAGCGCTATTTTTTCTAAGTCCCAGCAGAGCAGCCTGCCAGTCTGATGTTGCAAGTGGAATTTTCTGCCCACAGAGGGCGATAGGGGCTGGGTGGCCTTTCATTAACCCTTTAAAGGGTCTTTTTAGCACATACTGATCTAAAACTATTCTAATCCAAAACCCTCCATGGCATTGCTACACACACACTGCCATTAATTTAATTTAGTTTTTCTGTGACAGAATTATTATAAACATTTAGTCAGAAATACACTGGTTCAGTTTTCTTCCCCTGTTCTCTAACCATGACCCATTTCTGCTGCAACCACCAAGCTTTCTGTTTAGGAAATGCAACATTTATTATGCATTTGGTTTAACTAATGTCATTATTAAGATTAGAGATAGAGATCACATTTAAATCTTCATGTCCTTTTCACAAAAACACACTTTAAAAGATTAGAAATGTATCTTTAAGCAGAATTCTCACTTTGTGTTGGACTTCATACACCAAAGTCTTTCATTGTGAAAGACCAGTAAGAAAACTGAATCCGTGGTCTGATTTAGCTCTTTCACAACCTAAGATGACCTCCAGCCGTGTTAGAAACCTTCTGGGAAAATTGTGCCGTCTCACTGCTGCAGCGACTCGGGCCGTTCTCCCAGCTGCCTTGTTCCCTGACTCTCCTTCCTCTAGTTTTAACAGAGTTATAGTGCCAGCAGTAGCTTTTATTTTAACACTTGATGGACAGTGCTGTTGAACATTGCAAACATGATGTTTGCTGCTGCAGGAATTCTTAACTATTCTTTAAATTTTACTCCAGTTTGCTTGATCACTGTGACATGCACCCTCTCTTTTCTTTTACAATTACAATCTGTTAGCTGACCTTTCATAATTCCACTTTCATCAGTTTTCTTGACTTACTCAATCCTGTGTAGGGTTGCCGGGAAAACTTACAGAATTCATGCACAAAGGCTCAAGTTGGGAATCAAATTAGGGATGCACTGATACCTCTTTTTTCCAAGCCAATACGATGCCGATACTTGGATCTGGGTACACGCCAATGCCGATTACCGATACCGATACTTCGACCACACAAAAAAATGCAGTGATTTGGAATACAGATTTCATTTTCTTCTCTGCTTTCAACAGGAAAAGACTGTGAGGTGGATAAAAAGTAAAATATATGGATGGAAATCGTCACAAAACTAAAATATTAGGTGAACAGAAATGACAAGTTACAGTGAAGCCATTTTCAAGCAACTGCATTGGTATCGGTTCCTGGTATCGGTTAACTTTTACCGATACCGATACTGGTATCGGTATCGGTGCATCCCTAAATCAAATCCTAGATGCTCCTGCTGCAAGGAAGCAGTGCTAACCAGCTGCAGCACCAGTGAGCCCATGTGATCATTCATTTATAAACATCAGTCTGTCTATTAATGCAGCAACAAATCAGAAGTGCAATAGAGCCTCAAATATTGTAATATTTCATTTTTTCTTTACTTTTGCCAAAATATTTTCTTTTGTGACAAATCCCCTTCAGAGTCCTGTCTGTTAGTCCAGAGAAGAGGCTTCACATGCTTTTTACACACCTCTGTTCATCTTGCTTCGTGTTTGCTATACCAACCTGAGGCAGTCAGTAGGAAACAGGGCATGCTTTTGTTTCAGTTTTAACATTTGCCACTAAAAGCTGTCCAAAGGCCCAGTAAGGCTGATTTTACAGTTGCTGGTAATGACTGCACAGTCAGGAGTTACACTGCACACTGCACCTCTGTAGTTGTCTCTTAACAAAAGTTACTTTCAGGCTTCAGAAAACATTTTTAAAGACAAAATGACTCAACAGTCTGTTCCAGAATGAAATGAACTCCATGTTTTTATTTTTGGATTCAGACTTTCTGCTCATTCACAGCTGCTTAGAGGTTCTGGAAACAAAAAGACAATTTAATACTGCCACCCCCGATAATAGCCGCTCCACAGGCTCACTGTTGCTGCAGAAGACCAGAGCTACATTTATTTTGCTGTGTCATGCTGATGCGTCGCAGCACGGTGTGCCCAGGTCTTTCCTGAGAAGGACACGCTCACACCATTCTTTACTTGAATAGAATCCACTACTTCTCCACAGCTCATTTCAAGCACAAACCCGGTGAGTCACACACATCCCTTTGACTGAAACAAGCTCAACTTTGTGCGCCTGCACAGAGTAGCTGGCAATTCTGGGTCTCTCATTAAGCCTCATTATATTCATATTTAGGAATATTAGCCTGGTCAGCACCAGGAGCAGAGAAAACAGAAAAGGATTAAGGATTTCTGGAATAGTCGAGTATTTTTTTTAACAAGCCAAGAGTAGCTGGGAAGTTCCCGTCTTATGGTACTTTTTTACCTGCTATCAAATAAAGTTCATCTAGAATCAGCACTGACTGTGCACACATACACACACACACACACACATGCACACACACGAAGAGCTGGTGGAGTGCTTTGTGGCATGGTGTGGAAACAATCATCTGACCTTGAATGTGAACAAAACAAAGGAGATGATTTTAGACTTCAGAAGAAACAGGGTGGAGTCAAACACTGTTTCCATCATGGGAGAAGAAGTGGAGGTGGTTGAGGAATACAAATACCTTGGAGTTCACCTGGACAACAGACTGGACTGGAGAAAGAACAGCGAAGCCGTTTACAAGAAGGGACACAGCAGACTGCACTTCTTGAGGATGCTAAGGTCCTTCAATGTCTGTAGCAAGATGCTGCAGACCTTCTACAAGTCTGTTGTTGAGAGTGTAATCTCTTCAGCCATCGTCTGTTGGGGTAGCAGCATCAGAAGCAGGGACCTGAAAAAGCTCAACAGCCTAATTAAAAAGGCTGGTTCTGTTCTGGGGACGACTGTGGAACCACTGGAGGAGATAATGCAAAGAAGGATTCTCCAGAGAATCAAGAAAATGATGGACAACCCTGAGCATTATCTTCACAAGACTGTCCTACAACTGAAGAGTGTCTTCAGTCAGAGGCTTCTTCAGTTTGGCTGCAACACTGACCGCTACTGGAGATCCTTCCTGCCAACAGCCATTGTTATATACAACAACTCTTTGACGACTTGATTATTATTATTATTATCCTGAGCTACTACAGCAATCAATTTCCCTCTGGGATTAATAAAGTATTTTTGAATTTGAATTTGAAAACAACAATACCTCATGCTGTTTACACAAACTTCGTGTGCATGTGTGTGTGCGCACGCTTGTGTGTGTGTGTTTGTGTGTGTGTGCATATGTGTGTGTGTGCGCGCGCGTGTGTGTGCATATGTGTGTGTGTGTGTGTGTGGGTTTGTGTGTGTGTGCGTGCGTGCGTGCGTGTGTGTGTGTGTTTGTGTGTGTGTGCATATGTGTGTGTGTGCGCGCGTGTGTGTGTGTGTTTGTGTGTGTGTGCATATGTGTGTGTGCGCGCGTGCGTATGTGTGTGTGTGTGTGTGTGTGTGTGTGTGTGTGTGTGCGTGCGTGCGTATGTGTGTGTGTGTTTGTGTGCATATGTCTGAACATGCGTGTGTGTGTGTGCGTGTGTGTGTGTGTGTGTGTGTGTGTGTGTGTGTGTGTGTGTGTGTGTGTGTGTGTGTGTGTGTGAGGTCCTTTTGGGACTGAAACCCCAGATACTTAGACAACACCGGTGTTTCCATTTAATGGAAGGATTCTTGTTCAGGAGGATTTTGTGATGGAGACACTTTCAGTTCAGCCTCTAATGGACTTAGATGTTTATCCCACTCTAGTGGATTTAAAGCTGAACTAATCAATTTGTCGTGTGGAACAAATAAATGTGTTTCTGCTCATGTATGTCCCACTCAACAGGTGTCCATCCTAAAGAAAGTGAACTAAATCCTGTGCACCTGTGTTCGTATTAAGCAAAGGAATTTCTGCCCAGCCTAATCCTCCTGATGATTACCAGTGCCCCCCTTCACACGCACCCTCTCCTTAAACAGTTCTTTTTTTTCTTGCCTCGGTCTTCTTTACTTCACCCAGCTTTTTCCTTTCTGTTTCGGTGTACAGGGCATAGCTTCTGTTCTGCAGCGCAGGTCTGATAATGAGGAGTATGTGGAGGTCGGCCGCCTCGGACCCTCTGACTACTTTGGTGAGTCTGGTGGGGTCTGGCTTTTTTTCTTTCACACAGAAAGTTATAAGACACACAAAATAAGTCACTCTTGTCTAAGTATTATATGTCAACTTTTACATTAATTAAAGAAGCACTGGTCGTTGTTTAGTAAACCAGTTTCTGATTTTTGCACTCATCGCTGACATGCCCATCTTACAGCGGTTTCCTGTTTTCATTCTGCAGACTCAATATTACAGAGCTAACACTTTTAGTGGTCTTCAACCAAATCAGATTTAAAGATTTCCAAAATGGTGCCAACATTAGTAAATTCATCATGTTCAGTGGCAGATACAGCTTTTAATCCGGAGATGATGGAATAAAGTGTTGTCTCGTGTATGAGCCGCAGTTTTACAGGCTTGCTTCTATACGATCTATGACTTTATCTTTGAACACATTACAGATGGATTTGAACTGCAATGCAGAACATTTCTCTGGAGATTTCATGACTCAGCTATTTACTGTCCAGAAAAGAGAAAAGAATAAGAATTTTGATAGATGTGTTGACCGGCTTAATCATCAATAATTGCGCTCCCCTGAATAGAAATGATGCAAGTAGACAACTTGATTAAAGTTTAACTTTTGTTTTAGCCAAAAATAGTTTCCATCAATATCTGGTTTTAACTATTCAAATAAATAGATTTTTTTTCCAATCATCAATATTACATGAATTATTAATGCATAAATCAATTAACATTTGATTAGCTGATCTTTCTCTCCTCCTCTTATCCACCCAGGGGAGATTGCCCTGTTGCTGAACCGTCCCAGGGCAGCTACCGTGGTGGCCCGTGGGCCCCTGAAGTGTGTGAAGCTGGACAGGCCTCGCTTTGAGCGTGTGCTGGGCCCGTGCTCCGAGATCCTGAAGAGGAACATCCAGAGATACAACAGCTTCATCTCCCTCACTGTGTGAGAGTCCACACCCCCAGCAGGGGTGTGCAGCATCAGCATCAGAGATTCAGCGAGAGGGTGGGAAATGGGATGGGAGGATGAAGGGTGAAGATTTTCAATCCAAAATAACATCCACAAGGCTCACTTCTGCCCTTTTTCTAGTTTGCGCATATATATATATATATATATATACATATTATTTTTTTTTACCTTGTGCACTTTGGCTTGATCTGTTCTGTCATGTAGCTTTATGTCAAACACAACAATGCAGGGGAGTTCAAAGCAGAGTGGAAAGTGAAACATTTAACTCATCATGTAAATGAATGGTGTGTCAGCTGTACATGATGCATGCAGGGCTGACCAAAACTGGTGTTTGCACTTTGAACTTATTTATGAGGAGGATGGAAAACCATCACAAGACACAAAGGAGGAAAAGTAATGTTTACGTTCAGCATGAGGAAGTGGGTTCACATTTCTTCACTCGCTGGCTGTTAGCCTTTTTAACTTTTGACTGTGGTGACATCATTTCTGGATTAAATTAAACACATGCTAGACAAATGTGTTATTTCAAATGTACTATAGTGGTAAAATCATTAAGAAAACTATATTATTGGCTACTTTTTGCTTCAGAGTGCTTTTACTACTGGTTTCAGGTGGGAAGTCATAAAGACGGTTTTAAGTTGACGTAAATTTTGACTTTGTGGATTTTTTAAATATGTATTTCAGACAAATCAGAGAAAAAATATGAAGCCAGCTTTCACTCAGCCTTGCTGAAGATCTACTGTCTGAGTATCTAAAGCGTGATTTATCATTAATGCCAAAAACAGACATTCCACAGCTTCATGAAGTCCATCTCCATCACTTTTAGCTTTGTTAGTGGAAGTCCTGTAAAAAAAGCTTGAGAACATGCATTTAGTTTTTAAAAATCCACATTTTCAGCGGTTCATGTTCTTCACTTAGAAAAGCGATGAGACTCCTAACAACCAGACTTTGGGTTCATGGGGAAATCAGACTTTTGATAAACAGCCAATAGCTTTAGTAAGGTAGGTTTGATCTCTTCTTAGTAAAATTACATTAAACATGAAATTATTCATCACAAATGAGTTTACAGAATTGTTGCTGCTTTCAGTAGAAACATGTTCCTAGAAGCTGTTCAGGCTGATCTCTGATCTGTTTTACTCCAAAGGCGCAGTAGTGTTACCATCACACTCCTCTGCTTTCACTGTCTCAGGATGAAACCAAACGTTTAACACACACCTACACGCCGAGCATTTAGTTTGGTTGTTGTAGTGCTGAGGACGGCGTTGGGTCCATGCAGATGTCTCATTTAGCTGTTTTTATGACATTATGTGTCCCAAATAAGATCCTGTGTTGCTGTTGTTTCACCATAACATGTGAAACCGCTGATAATGTCCAAAGACCAAGATTATTTCTGTATTTTCTCTCTCTGTGTGTTTTTATTTTAACTATCAAAGCATCTTCTGCAAATAAAGATTAGCTTCTGAAATGA